GACGTTGGTGACAACAAAACTGGGGACAACCCCCTAAATTTTTTGCCACCTCAAAAATTTTCCCTCCCCTTCTCCCTGCCCCTGATCTTAACCAGAAGCAGCAGCTGAGACTCACCTTGTTGCACACACAGGACAGCAGCCAGCAGGGTGACAAGAGGAGTCCTCATCTCCAGCAGATGCTCCCAGCTGCACTGGGAAGGTGTTTGGAGGGCAGGTTTTATACCTCTGCAGCAGCAGTTTTACAGGTTCCCACGGGTGGACACAAGCTCAACCCACGGGCGGGGGATGTTTCATGTGGGAGTGTTCCAGGCTGGAGCTCTCGGAACCTTTTAAGATTTCTTCTGGACACAGTTTAACTGTAAGAGCGAATTTATAGATGGAAAAGGTAACAGACCCTCTTTGGTGGGCTGAAAGATCGACAGTTTTGATCAAAAGTTGACTATTGGGGTCTTGGATGGGACCCCAGATGCGTTAGAGGGATCAAACAAGTTACCTCCATGTTTTCTGTTGTCCCTCTTTTAGGCCGGAAATCTGTAACCTCTTATTCTTGATTTATACTGGGCTAGAAAGGTGTAAAACCCTGTCCTTAAATCCGTTTGGAATCTGATGCCAGTATGTGATGGTTTATACGTCCTGTGGTGAAAACACGGGAGATCTGCACAAAAAGGGATGCTAAGGGATAGTAAGATTAAATTCCTAGAAGTCTGAGCAATTCCAGGCTGTGGCACCTCAGGGGTGAAAAACCCTTTCAGCGACACATTTCTTGCCCTTCCAGTCTTGGGAGCAATGGGAAATTGGGATCTGCTCTTTTCTCCTCGGAGTTTCTCGCTTTGCTCACTGCTCTGATGCAGCAACAGAGCCTGGAGGCACAGGGATACAGTCCTAGCCATGACTTTTTCCAAGCCCTTTGGATAGTGATGGATCAGAGTTTGTACCGTTCCTTTCCCTTAATTATTCACCAGCACCAGCCTCAGGCTCTCAGCTGGCTTACCTCAAGTAAAATCAGTGTGTTTTACAGCACCTCAAATAAAATCAGTGTGTTTTACAGCACATGAAATTAGCTAATGGTTAGTTAAACAGAAGATTTGCCTCCAATTTCCATGTCACTCTTCATTCCTTTATCAGTTCGCCTCCCGTTAATCCCTCTTCTCTCTCTCATAATCCTCAAATACCCCAGGCACTTGTTATTTAATCAAGTCTGGCTCGTCTTCCAAGGATCCTTCAGAGGGGCTGATTTTCTCCGACAGAAAGCCAACAGCTTCTCGAAATTAGACTCCCATTTATGAAACCACAAATTGGCTCCCTGGAGTTGTAGCTCTGCTCTGCAAAGAGCCATCTCTCAAACTGTCTCTTTTTCAATCTCTCCCCTCTCAAATCAACCCCTTTTCTTTTATTCCTCTGCATTGCTCCTTTCCTCTGAATTTCTTAAAATCTGTTTCTGACAGTCTGGGAAAGAGGACCCTGATACAAGATGCATCATGAGTTGCCATCCCAACAGAGCTTCTTCCAAAATAAAATCACTCCTGGACAGCAGGCAGAGCAGAAAGTGCGAAAGAAAATATTGTCAAACCCTCCTTTTTGGGGCAATTATGGAATAACTTCAGAAATTCCCTGGATGCAGCCACCAGGAGGGTATTTTTATCCGTCTCTAATATGAATCATCCCAACACTGGATGATTTCCTTATCCATGTGAGTGTCTGAGTCCTGATCTGCTCCCAGAATGGCGTCATCAGGGGGTGAATTCCAGGGTTGTTCAAGCCTGATGTCAAACTGGACATTCCCACTCTGGGGTTTGGAGGCTGGTGAGGTCAACAAGGACTTAGTGATGATCAAATCCAGCCTCGTGCTCCTCAGAGGGCAACTTTATAACCAAGGGTGTCATAAACAGGTTTTCTTTCTTAATTTGTGGGTGTGGCTTCTTGATGGGATTTTGCAATGAGGGTACAAGGAAGAAACCATTTCCCCCTTATTTTTGGTCCTGTTTATCCCATAGACTCATGTTGGCTTTCGGAGAATCATAGACTGGGTTGGTTTGGAAGGGACCTTCAAGATCATCTCATTCACCTCCCACCAGACCAGGTTGCTCCAAGGCCTGTCCAAGCTGGCCTTGAAATGTCTCGTTGAGTTTCTCAACATCCATTTTATTCCTACATGAACCTTCCTGCAACAGGATTGAGTCAACTCGGAAGGAGAGGTGATGTTAAAACTCCCCTGGCACATCCAAGGGGAGAAATTTGGGTTGGAAATGAGCTTTTCTATGTCAAAAATTTATCTGGGAGCTGTTTGCAGGACATTAATGTCTTCCTTGGTGTACTAACACTGGGATATTCCTTCTTCCTGGGGTCTGGAGAGTGGGAAGAGAGATTTCTTTCTCAAGAGGACTGATGATGAACCTTAAAAGCATCACTGAAGGATCCAGAAAGGATCCTGCAGGCACACCAGGGTCGCCAAGTGAGGAGCAAGATTGAGGAAGATTGGAAACAAAAAAAACCCCAAGGATTCTGAGTCACCTCTGTAGAGTCATCTCATCACTGTCCATTTGGAAAAATTAAAATCGACCTCAAATTGGAATCATGAGCTGGCAGTGGACCTTAAATTGGAGCCATCACTTGGCTGTGTGACAGCAGAGCAGCAGTAAATTTTGGAGAAGGGTTGCTTTTGTCCCTTTCCATGGCTTCCAGAAGCTTTTTTAGGCCTTGCTTTGATCTTTTGCGTCCATCTCATCTCCTGCTTTGTCGTTGAGTCTCCGGGTGTTTGTCAGATCTGGGCAGATAAATGGGGAAAAGGGGGAGAAATTTCATGTTGTGAGGGGAAAGACACCCAAATTATTCAAGGAGAGCAGAAGGCAGCACAGATCCTTCAAAACCAATGGTGATAAAGCCCTGAGTGAAGGAGAGGAAGGGCCAAAGTTAAAGCACCTCCTAATTTAGGCAGAGCAAGGCCTCCTTGGCTGATCCAGGTCTTGACTCAGAGCCCTGAAAACCGAGCTCTTATATAATCCACAGGGAGAGGGAGGCAGTTCCCTCCCAGGATCAATCCCAGGTATTTGAATGAGACTCCCATCTCCTTCCCAAGAGCCCTCCAGGCATCCCAGGTGGCTGTGCTGGGCAGTTTGACACTCTCATTCCAGGAGGATGAAGCCACAGGATCCAACGGAAAGCCTGGGTGGAGGGATGTGGGATTAGGAACCAGCCCCTGAGCGGCAGGTGGCACCTCAGGATTTCTCAGGGAGGTTGGCAGAGAGTCTCCTCTTACCCAACCCTCTCAGGGAGGGGTCTCTAAGGGAGCTTTCATGTTTTTTAGGACCTCCTGTGCCTCAGGGCATCTGAGCTCCCATCTCCAGACAAGGACCTCGAGATGTGGGTCAGCTTTGGCCCCACACACATGGGGTCGTGTTGCTGGGCAGTAGGGAGTGGAATCTGTGGGATCGGGGAGAAATCAGGCAAGAAGCAGGGTGTGTCCCACGTGCCTCCATCCCCTTGCCCATGCCAGGTTCCTTCCCAACCCAAAACAGAGGCACCCGTCAAGTTCAGGCATCACAAAACACAATTTATTTTAAACCTGGTTGCCAAGAACTGACCTGAACTCACAAGCTCAGCACAACGAGACCTTAATAACCCTATCTTGCCCTTTCCCAGTCCCTAAGGAATCTTAAACGTGTGGATAGCAAAGGCTGAGGATTATTCCAAATAGTTTAGTTGTTGCCACGTTGTGATCTGTGTGTGGGGCAGAATTTGGGCACTTGAGGTCACAGAACAGCTCCTGGCTCGTGTGGGGTGTTCACATCTGCCTGTCACTTGAATATCTCTAAATGTGGCAGGAGGGGAAGAAAAGGGAAGAGGGTAAATCTGCCAGAAGGGTAGAACCAGCTCAGCTGGGGGATGATAAAAACCACAAGGAGAAGGAAGAGTCTCGGGGCTAAAGATGGAGTATTCTCAGCCAACCTTGGATTTACACCGAGGAGAAAACACTGAGCTGAGGCTGTAGCAAGAAGATACAGATTGGGTGGAAAAACTGGGACTGACTAGATGAAGAAGCCAAAGAGGAAATCTAGGAGAGAAAACAGCCAGGAGTGCAGAGCTGGAGGTGGGATATGGATGGGAGGAAGGGTTGAGAGCAGGTGGGGGTGAGCTGGTCTTGAGGTCAAGTTTCCTTTGAAAACCTGTTCAAAATAACAAAGATGTGGCTGTTTCTGAGTAAATGCCCATCAGAGGGAGCAGAACATGCAGCTGCTCTCCCCATGACATGAATCACCAGCTGGGTGAGCTGCATCCAACTAATTATCCTGGGACATCTTCCTTGGGGTGATCCCTGGGGAGAGCTGCCTCACTCAGGAGAAAACAGCTCACCCTCCCCTGGCTCCCTTTGTAAGGGTTTGAGTGAGCAAATCTCTCATTCCCAAGATTATCCACAGGGAAGGTCAGGGCAAGGTGATGAGCCCCTTCCATTTTACCCACACTGGGACACCTGACTGGCAAACCTAAAAGATTTATCTTCCAAATTCATATTTTGTTGCAAATGAGGCTGGAATTTCCAGACTCCAGCGGACACACATCTGGCTTTCCTGATGATTTGCCTTTAAGCACTGTGCAAGATGCTTTTCTCCCCTTTCAGGATAATCCTTAATGCCTATAAAGCAATTTCCACTGGAAGATCTTCCATCAGTTTAAAGAAAACTTAATGCTCGAAGTCCCTTCCTGTGGAGTCCTGCCCTGTCCCCTCTGTTTGCTGGGGAACCCAACTTCCCTTCATGCAACTGACCCAGAAGAGGAACTGAAAGCAAGTTAAATAGAGTTTATTCTGAAACAGAGTCACAAAAATGACATTTCTACCAATGCAGAAAAATAAAATCTGGGGAGAGGCTTCCTGAAGTGAATGCAAAGCAATTTGAGCGTATTTCAGCATTATTCGATTCCACTTGCAGCCTCCACTTTTATTCCTGCTGCCATGGATGCATCCAGCAGCTCCTCCCCACGTCCCACACCACGCAACCACACAAGAGGATAAAATAACACTTTATTGTGCCCAGTTGCTGCTTAACAACTCTGATATTAAAGGGCTTCCTCGGAGTAAAATGATGTGGGGCAGAAAATGGTATGAAGGGGAAAAAAATGGCATGAGGGATAAAACAAAGGGGAAAAACTGCACTAATTTAGAAATGCCAATAGCAGGAGAGATGATGCCCGTGGTGGGCTCCACATCACGCCTTTCTCTTCCAAAAATATCCTTTTGCGGTAGGGCAGTGCCCTTGGGCGTGGTCATCGGAGCAAAAGCGCTTCCTGACGGGATGTGACCTCCCGGGCAGGGGAAGCAGGGCGGCATTCCCACCCTGCAGGTACCACCTCGAGCCCTGGTCGTGCAAGGCCTCGTTTCCCCCCGGGAAAGCCTTTAAAAGCCCATGCTGAGGATGCAGGCCAGGCTGGCCAGGAGGCCCAGGGCGATGATGGTGGCGCTGGTTTTCACGCTGCTGGCGCCGCTGATGTTGCACAGGGAGGTCTCGCAGCAGCTGGTGGCCACCCCGGCTATGCCGATGTTGAGGTCGATGGTTGGGCAATATGCAGAACATTTCTTGGTGATGCGCTGGTTCTTTTCACTGCCTGGGGTGAGAGGGACAGAAAACAGCCGGGAAAGTCGGGATTTTTATCTCATATATTTTTTTAAGCTTCAATGATCACCTGGATGTGCCATATCCGGTAGTAGACCCCAATCTATTCCCACTTGCTGCCGTTGTTTTCCCCTCTGACTGCACCATTATTGTGTATATTGTGACTTCTGGAGACCAACTCCAACCCTCACAACCCTTCTGGTGGTTTCAGGGCCAGCTGAGAGCAACTTAAGGCAAGAATTTTTGGATTTTAATGCATTTGTGAAGTGCAATCCTGAGACAGCGTCACCGTGCCTTGGGGTGGCTCCTTACACAGTGCCTGGCCCTTTCTAATTCCACCACCTCATGAGCACATACTTGACCTTGGAGTTGAGACAAGGGCTTTGTGGAGGGAAATTCTTTCTATTCCAATGTCTCCCTTTCCCGGGAGTGTTTAATCAGTGCAGCAACAGAGATAATCTCTGAGTTCTGCAAGATTTGCTCTCCCCATGCTGCATTCCTCATTAATTCTTCCACCACACCTCCTGGTGGGAGCAGGCTCTGCAATCAGCCTCCCATGATCCCTATCTCACCATCAGAGCCTTGGAAAAGCTCTCCCCACTTACCCATTCCCGTGGTGGAATAGGTGGTCAGACAGTACTTCTCGTTGTCGGAGCATTTGGTGGTGCTGAGACAGTGGATGTTGGAAGTCGCGTCTTTGCACGAGAAACAGGTCAAGGAGGAAGCTGCCAAAAAAGCACAAAACACCCATCAATCACCTCCAGAAACATCCCCAGGAGCACAAAACTGGTGGTGGATGGAGGATCTGTCAAGCCCGGTGGCCACAGGTTGACAACCACCTCCGTGTGTTAAACTTGGCCCCAGAAGCCAAGTTAGTTTAAGCTCAAATTCCTGCCACAGATGTGCTTTGCTCCTTTAGGAACCCTCAGGGATCTTCCTGCTGGATATTTAGTTGACTCTGCCTTGAATCCATTTAAATGTGTGGTATCTTCACTGTGCTGTTGGAAAGAGCCCCCCAGTCTGCTGCCACTTCCAGTGTGAAGCTCTTGGGATCCCTTTCCAACCCGGATCCTCCAAGCCTTGGTTGGTGGACAACAGTTCTTGGATGGAGACACTGGACCAGAGAATCTGTGGCTGCCCCATCCCTGGAAGTGTTCAGGGCCAGGTTGAATAAGGCTTGGAGCAACCTGGTCTAGTGGAAGGGGGTTGGAACTGGATGATCTTTAAGATCCCTTCAAACCCAAACCCTCCCATGATTTTTCTGGTTCATTTTCAGAGCTCTCCTGTGTCAGGAAGAAAATCTTGGACTTGCAGAAGACAGGGCTGAGCAAATCACCCCCTGGGCTGTAGCAGATTCCTTTTTACAGCCATCCACGGGTGTTAACATCCTCTCTCCACAAAATGTGCACATCTGGAACACTCTGCATCTGCCAAGCGCTGTGCTGACGGGAATGAATGCAAACAGCTTGCACTCACTGAGGCTAAAACAGCCATTCATGGCAAAGAGATCCTTGGGGAAGGGTTTTTTGCATGATAAGAGGAATTTCCTCCTCATCTCTTTATCTGGCACAAACACTACTGACAGCAATGTCACCCTCCAGGGATTAGACTCATCCTCATGTCCAGAATATCCCTTTCTGTGGCCAGTTAATACCCATTTAATTCTTGGAGCAGCACTGGCCTTTAGCTTTGCCTTTCTTTCCCTTCATCTTCCTTGCTCTTCTTCCCTCTTGTCCTTCATCTTTCTTCTCTTTTTCTCCCCTTTACCTTTGCCTTCCTTGCCCTACATCTTCCTTGCTCTTCCTCTCCCCTGCCCAAGCTCATCAGCACCTTTGCCCACAGTGTCCCAACCTCATCCCTACCCTTGTGTGACCTTAAGACAAGTTCATGTGGCCCAAACAGGCTCCTCAGTGTCCTCCCAGCCCAGCCCTGGCTCCAGCTCAGTCCATGACCCCGGAATCACTGGTTTCCATAGGAAAAGCCTTTTAGGTCACTATTCATGCTCTGCCTCCGTGGAAACCACCTTCTTCTCCCACTCCAACTCACAGCCCCTTCTCCCTTTCCGTGGCCTCCCAGTGCTGACCTTCCTTTTCCTCTCATGATCCATAGTCCTCCCATTCCCTATTCTGTTACATGCCACTAAATGACCATGAGCAGAAGCCACAGAGGACAAAGAGGCCATAAAACTGGGCTGGCAGTACCTCAGATCCCATCACCCTCCGTTCCCATGGTTGTTTCAAACCCCTCACCCTTGGCACCCTCAGCTCTCTTTGACTTCACACCAAAACTGCTGCAATTTCCTTCCTATCTCCATCATTTCCATCTCCAGAACCTCACCAGTTCTCCCACTTGGCTCTTGCCTTTAGTATTGTCCTGATCCTAATGGATACATTTATTTGTTCAAGTCTGAGACCCTCCTAAGGACCATCTGTGTGAGAAATGTGTGGCTCTGCTCCCTTTTCTCCTGCAAATCCCATCCAGGGATGTTTCTGCTCCACCCCACTGGGAACCACCCTTTCCTCCCAGAAACACACTAAAGCTGAATCCCCAAACTGGATTTTCCAGACACATAGCCTGGCTTAATCCTTAATAATACAGCTTCTTTAATCCAAGCCCATCCCCAGAATAATTTCCTGAATTAATGCAGGAAACAGTGGAGCTTGTCATGTGCCCAAATCCTGTTTCATCCCATTCTCCCAAAGCTGGGAGTCTTCACTTCAGAGTCCAGTTGCCCTGGGAGCCTTCCATCACCTTTTCCAACCTCTGACTCTCCTCAAGAGGTTTCTTACTCACCATTCCCTAGGGGACTCTAGAAGCAGATGGAATCCTAAATGGCAGCTCAATTAAGACCCTGAACTCAGGAAGGACAATTTTGGTCATTCTACTGAAAAACATTTCTAATTTTATTTAATCTCTTCAGGTATCTGAGGGCTGAGAAGGAAAGGAAAACTATTTCTTTCAGTGCCCTAGTCAAGGTGTAAACCTGGAATTAAACCAGGATGGCCTAAGCTGGTTTACCTCAAATAAAATCAGTGTATTTTGCACTGGATGTCTCCTGCCTGCACCCACCAGAACCTCTGCTCTGACTGAAGGGGAACATTCCCTGAGGAAAATATTCTTGTGGATAATTCCAGCCACACACATAAACCTCTTACATGTGTAAAGCATTAGGAAGTGCAGGGATTGACACCGGTTTCAGGATTAATTGAAAGAGGAACCAACCTTGGATTGCACAGCAAAGCGGGGCTGCTCATGGGGTAATTTCCACTGATCTTTTTAAGAAGTGTGATTACAGTTGATAAGATCCTTTTATTGTCCTTAAGGTTCTCAACTTGAGCACAACGATTTAGCACATACCAAGTTTAAAGCCTGTGAAGTCCCGTGATAAGAATATTTACAGAGCTGAAGGGCTCCGCTAGACCAGGAGCAGAATGGGTGGTAGTTTGCGGGTCAAATGCTACAGCAGAGGCTGAGAAAAATTCAGTTTGTAATAAGGCAAAAACCCCCTGAGCTGAGGGACTCAACTATTCCCCTAAAATAGAGGGATATTCAGGGCAGCACCTTCCCTTCCTTGCTTGACCCACAGCCCAACCCTGGGGGCTCCCAGAGGCACAGGCAGAGCCCAGTCAGGAGAACTGAAATGAAGGTTCCCAGTGCTCTCCCCCCCAAAAAACCCCAGACACTTCTCAGAAAGAAAATGGGACTCTGCATCTCCGTCCCAGACCTGGGATCAACCACACTGGGAATTACAAAAACCCTGGGGTTGGAAAAGACCTCAAAGATCATCGGGTCCAACATTACCCCAGCACTGCCACGTTCGCCACTAAACCATGTCCCTGAGCACCACATCTACATGTTTTTTTAGCACTTCCATGGCCAGTGATTCCACCACTTCCCTGGGTGGTGATTCCACCCCTTCCCTGTTCCCGTGCTTGAGCACCCTTTCAGCGATGGCATTTTTCCTGATGATCCGAGAGGTCATTTCCAACCTTAATGATCATTTCCAGCCTTGCTGCACTTCAAAGTAACGAGAGATGGGAGCCAGAACTGCCTCTCCTCTTGTGGTCTGACCATCTCTAGCGATTTAGGTAATGATGGTTCGTAATTGCAACCAATAAACAAGTGAAAAAAAATTCATAATGATTGGGCTGTGGTGAGTCCTGGGTCAAACCTGCAGCTTTAGTGCCCAGCTCTGTGTATCCCTCAACTAACCCCCTTCCTATGGAGTTGCACTGAGGGCTCTCAACCCATCCAAGGGCTGGGCTGGGTCTTCATGAGTCGTCTGAGGTGGGCATTTCATCCCCCATTTTGCCTCCGTGTCCGCCCACCTTCTGGTGGGAACACATCCCCTGGCTTCTTATCCCGAGGACTGGAATATTTTCTGGACCTCAGTGACCCTCCTGCAAAATCCTCTTATCATCCCACCACATCAAAGCCAAAGTTTTGGGAGGGTCTCCCCCGAACAAAGCAAACCCTTGGAGACTCACCCGTGTCCGTGCACAGGGCGAGGACGAGCCCGGCAAGGAGGAGGAGAGGAACCTTCATCCTTTCCAGGTTCTTGCAAGCTCCCAAAATAAGCAGGACTCGGCCAGGGCAGGTTTTATACCTCTGGAGTGTTTGCTTTGATCTCGAGATAATAACCACGGGGCTGCTGTGTCAGAGGAGGGATAATTGGGAGCAACGTGTCGGGGCTTGTGTGTCCAAGGGCTCTTTGTTGGAAGTCTAAGAGGGGGTGTGTTCTCCCCCCCACTTCTTTTCCTCCTCGTTTCACAACTCAGCTGCTTCATCCTGTGTGAACTCTGAGACAGTTTCTAATTTTGGCGAAGTGGAGGAAAAGCAAAGGACACAAAAAACCCAAAACAACGAGGAGAGGAAGGTTCTCCTTTCTGGGTCTCCCAGGGTTGAATACCTTAAAGATCTCGCCCTGGCACGGGTTGGATTTAAATTTCAAATGGAATTTGGGATCGAAGCTTCTACAAAATGTCTCCCAGGACTGGCAATAGCACTAGAGCAGCAGAGCAGAATCCTTCCACTGCCTTTCATAGGGGACCAGGCATGGTTTTCTGTCTCTTTTTTAAGGCAGTAGTTTAAAAAATCACAAATGTTTCTGCTAAAAAAAAAAAAAAAAAAAAGAATATTTTATGTGAGACGAAAACGTTATCTTGTTACAAAATAAATTCCACTGGGCAATGAAAACGACCCCTTAAATTAAAAACCAGACATGACACCCACTCCCACAGCATCCAACAAGCTGTGCCTTTTTTTTTTTTTTTTTCACAAATTCCAAAAAAATAAATGTCAGGGAGAAAAACACCAACCAATTAAAGCATGGAGAACGAGGGGTTGGCTGATCAAGGATCTCAACTCATTAAGTTTTCAGAGGAAAAAAAAACCAAACCTGCCAAAATTCTGTGAAATGCCAACAAGAATATTCCATTGGATTTCCATGTTGTGCTCTTTACCTTTTTTTTTTTTTTTTAATCATGTTTCATCCTGTCTCCCTGTATAAAATCAGAATTTTTCCCCATCTTCTTCAGGTTGTTGTTGTTGTTTTTCCCTCCCGCCGTTGTTTTCCTGCCGTCTCCCCATGGGGACGGAGGCACAATCCCAGAAAAGCTCCTTCCACGTGACACCTGGAGCTGCAGGAGCTGCCCCAAAGCCTCCTGCCAGTGACTCTGCCCCTTGCTGCTGCCCATCTGCCTTATTTCCCTTTTATTTTTTATCTCCAGATTCCTCAGATTTCTGTCTCCCTATAAATATTTCGGCCTTCTGACATGACCCACCTCCAGCCATTGTCTCACCCAAAAGCCACCCCGGGTTCTTGGGGTGATGTAAGATTTTCCATCACCTCTAAATCGGGCTTATAAACACTGTTCACGTGACTGAGGTGAGGAAATTTCTGCTTTCTCAACAGGGAGAGCATGAAACTCAGTTGGAACAGAGGTGGCAATTAAGCCAAAAGGCTCCAAGGAGGGGCGTGTTTGGCTTCATCACCCTTCCAAAGGCACCAGGAGGGAGGAAAATAGGAGCTGGCGCCTTCCTTGCCAGTGAAACCCTCTCTTGCTTGTGAAATATTTGATTTTCCCCAGACCAGGAGAGATTTGATTGGTAAATCAGCTTTTTTTAGTGGTTATCTGGGAGGGGGGTGATGCCCCTCAGCAGAGGGAACGTTGAGTTGCAGAGCAGAGCCAGCCCACATTCCCAATTATCTCAGCCAACAGCATCCCCTCGCAGGTACAGAAATAGCAGCTCAACCAGGCACTTGTTTTTGATTCCCTCCCCCTGTAATCTCATCCAAGCCAAAACCTAAAATATCTCCTGTCTCCTGCAAGCTGCTGAGATTTTGAGAAGGCAGGGCCCGAGTTCTTAAAGGCTTTAGAGCAGGATTTTCCAGTAGATGATCCTGGAATCTTCCAGCTGGTCCCTTATGTCCTTCTTAATGTTGTCTTTGTCCCTCACCAGAAATCAAAAAAAAAAAAATAAAAAAGAACATGAGGGCAGAAAGATGATTTTTTTCAGGACACAAGAAGGTAAAGATAATATCAGAGTTTACAAGAATTTGGGAGTTATGAACTTCATAAAGGCTTCGGAATGAGTAACAGGGGGTTTAATTTGAGGTGGAGGTGGAAGGTGAGGTGGAAAGACTTATTTCCCTTGACACAGTTGCCGGGTGAAGAAGGAAAAGTGTTTTGCTCATCTTGTTCTGGTTGAACCCGTGGTGTGAGGAGGACAAACAGTTGTTTTATTTTTGGGGGGAGGGAAAAGCAGTTTTCTCAAAACAAAAGCTGGTCAAATGTAACTGTAAATGTATGTAAATGTAAGTGTGAATTCAGATGTCGTTGCTAAATGTGGAATTTCCAGTCGGTCAAAAGCTTTGAGAAGAGTTTCAAAAATTACTGTGATTAAAATGTGGGAAAAGCCATTGGAAAAGTGGTTAAAAAAGTGCAAAAGCCCAAGTTTCTGCTGGTCTCTCAGCACAGAAATGCTACAACACCACCATCCTCTAGTCAGAACATTTAAATAAATGCCAGAACACCCTCCTTGACCAGAAATTAAATCTTTATGGGATGATTAAACCTAATCCCATTTTCACAGCCTTTGGACAGCACTGTGGTTTCTTTCTGTTGTGCAGAAACACCTAGACTTTCCCGTGCTGGTGGAGCAGGATTCCCTCAAATCCAGCAGAGGATTCCCCTCAAATCCACAGCAGGATTCCCCTTGAGTGCAGAGCAGGATTCCCTTTAAATCCAGCACAGGATGCCCTCAAATCCAGCACAGGATTCCCCTCAAAACCAGCACAGGATTCCCTTGAATCCAGAGCAGGATTACCCTCAAATCCAGCACAGACTTCCTTCAAATTCAGCATAAGATTCTCTCAAATCCATCACAGGATTCCTTCAAATCTAACACAGGATTCCTTCAAATCTAGCACAGGATTCCCCTCAAAACCAGCACAGACTTCCCCTCAAATCCAGCACAGGATTCCCCTCAAATGCAGCACAGGATTCCTTTCAAATCCAGCACAAGATTCCCCTCAAATCCAGAGTAGGATTCCCTCAAATCCAGCACAGGATTCCCCTCAAAACCAGCAGAGGATTCCCCTCAAATCCAGTGCAGGATTCCCTTAAATCCAGCAGAGGATTCCCCTCAAATCCAGCTGGGCTGCAAACATGAGAGGTTTTTTTCCAGGTGCCATTATACAAACCCTCCCAAAATTCAGTGCTGAAGTTTTCAGCTGCTCAGCTGGGAATTCTACACTCTCCAGCTCCACGATTGTGTGCATTTTTCCCATTTAATTATAGTTTCGCTCATCCAGGAGCAGGAGGGAATCTCAACCCCAAGAGTTGCCAGGGATGTCCAACCCAAGAGCTCCAGAGGATCCCCATCCCATCTCCTCCATCCCCAAGCCTGGAAACGCAGCAGTGACTGGGAAGGGAAGCAGAGACCTCCCCACCAGCCCAGACACCCATCACCTTTCCCAGACTCATCCTGTCCATTTTCCCACTGGGAAATCGCGACCAATCCCTCAGCAACATCTTCTCCGAGCAGGCACGGAGATCTCCTTCCCAGGAGGATGCATTCCAGCAGCACTGTCCTCATCTTGGACATCTCCAGCATCTCCAGGTGGGACCTTTCCCTGTTTGAAAAGCTGAGACCACCCACCTTGCAGAGATCACGGGAGAACTTTGCAGGATCGCAATTCCTGCCAAACCCCATCAGCGTGTCCCAGCGGCTACGACACAATTCCCACTGGTGGGAATTCCCAGTTGGCAGTGAGAACAACACAAACATCTCTGACCTTCCCAGACTGACACCTCTGCTCCAAGCCATCAGAATATTTGGCTTTATGGAATGTCTGGATGCAACCGAGTCAGCTGGGAAAGGCAACCAGGAGAAGACTCGGAAGGAAAGGAGGAATTCAACAGGAAGTGGAGATTCTGAGAACAACCCCTCGCTGGCAGAGCTGTTGTCTCAGGCTGGATTGAACAAAGACACTCTAGAATAACATAAATCTTTATTTTTGGTTGACCATCATCACATGCTGTGCTATCAAAAGAGCTTTTCCAGGGAAAATTAGTATAAAACGGGGAGGGGGGAAAACCAGGAGCTGCGCTGCCGTATCACGTTGGGAATGGGATCTGTCTGGGATAAGAACAGGGCAGCACAGACCCTGTTGGAACCACTTGACAGAGGAGCCTGGTTTCTCACTCAGGGGATACCTTGTGGGTTCTTGGGTTGTCCCATCTCGTCCCACCCCTCCTCACAATCCTGCCCTGATGACCCAGCCCAGACTGGTGGCGATTCCCAGGAGCATCACGGCGTAGGAGGTTCGGACACTGTTGGCGCCGCTGAAGTTGCACAGGGAGGTGCTGCAGCACTTGGTGGAAAAAGCTGCCACCCCGAAGTTCACGTTTGTCTCAGGACAGTCCACGGAGCACTTCTTGGTGATCCGGTGCCCCGCGTCCTTGCCTGGGGGGAGGAGGAGAAAGGAAAGTTGGGATTCGAGGTTCTTTGGGAAGGGGGGAGTATTAATTGCAATTAGTAACAGCCACCAGGGGGGTTGATGAGTGCTGCTGGTGGGCACTAAACAGTCCTTGATAGAAACCCACGCCAAGCCGAAATCTCTGGTCTGGGTGACCAGGTGGTGACCAGCCAAAGGTTGGACTCAATCTTGGAGACCTTTTCCAACCGAAATGACTGTGGGATTCTGTGCTTCCTGTGGGACAGCAGGAAATCACTGCCAGTGCATTTCCCTCTAAATGGTCACTAAAATGCCTCTAAACCCACATTATTTACATTCAATCCCTTTCCAGCCTTCATCCCAGAGCACATGGGAGAGTTCTCAGCGTCTGCTCCTGAAATCTGTGTGTTCCAGCCACAAGGGTGGTGAGGAACAGGCGTGGGTTGCCCAGAAAAATTGTGGATTCCCCATCCCTGGAAGTGTTCAAGGCCAGGTTGGATGGATCTTGGAGCAACCTGGGATACTGGAAGGTGTCCGTGCCCATGGGAACCAGATCATCTTGAAGGTCCTTTCCAACGCAAACTGTTTTACGATCACAAAGCACCACTGAGGGATTCACAAATTACATGTCATGATCCCTAAACCTCAGTCATTGATTCTTTCCAAAAAGACCCCAAAAACATCACTGTTTCCCAGGACTAAAATGAAGATTAGGAAAGCCTGGATGTGTTGCTGGCACTCACCAATCCCAGCAGAGCTGTAGGTGGTCGTGCAGTACTTCTCATGGTCTTCACACTTGTAGGTTTTAAGGCAGTTCCAGTTGGAATGTTCGTTGTCACACGTG